AACAAGCAGCTGCCGTGGTCTGTGCTTCACTGGGCTAGCACAGGACTGTGTGGGACATCTGCTGGAGACCCCAGGCCAACAGTGAACTTTGTGTGTGTGGAGGGCAGGGTAAGCAGGTGTGTGTGCTCCTGTGTGCAGGTGCACATACGCATGTTTGCATGCAGGTGGCCAGAGTGTTGTTCTTCAGGAGTCATCCACATTGTGTTGGAGACAAGGTGGCCAGCCAGTGAGCCCCAGAAATTCTCCTGTCTCCATCCAATTCTACAGTTACAAGTGTGTAGTATGGATTTCATGTGGGTGCTGATCATCTAACCCTGACCCTGGTGTTTGCATGGCAAGCACTTTACTGCCTGAGCCACTCATTTCCCCTGCCCTCAACAGTATGTTCCTGAGCTTTAAAATTCCCACCAGTGAAAATACATTCCAATCGGGTAGGGATATAGCTCAGTGGTACCGCACATGTGCAAAACCCTGGATTCAATTCAGGCATCACCTGTGTGTGTGTACTCATCCTAAATTCTTGTCAAGTACAAAAGTAGTCCTGATCTGGTACTGCTACCAGGGAACAATTAGACCCTGGAAATTAAGCATACCCTTTCGGTCCTGACTGGGAGAACCACCACCAGGCAGTGTGAGGACCCTCGAGCTGCTGCACACTGATGATCCTTTCACAAGACCCCAAAAGCTGAAGACCCAGCTCCTTTGCATGAGTACAGAGGCCTGACCACATCATTACTGTAGGGAAGCAAAGTTAGAAGCCAGTCTGACTGGCCCTGTGCCCCTGGACAAGTGACTTGACTCTTCTGTGCTGTTTCCCAGGCTACCAAATGAGAATAGCAATGTGTCTGCCAGCACCTGCAAGGACTGTGGGAGATGATATATATACTTTAGCATAATCCTAGCCTGGAACACCTGATTATATTATTCTCCCAGTGTCTGAATCCAATTCAAAACCTCTCTATTGTTTTGCAGACATCTCCACCCTGTGGCTCCACCCATTCAGGATCCACTCTTCCCAACCCCCTCCTGCCTTACCTGTCTGGAGCTTGTTTGAAACAATGAATCACAGCACAACTCTGCAGCTCCCATCAATCACCTCCCTGTCCCTGCCTCTGTGTGTCATTTCTGAACTCCTCCTGGGAGGGACATGCTTTTCCTAATGTCCAGTACATCATTCAACAAGTATTTACGAAAGGCCAATTATATATTAGTCTTAAAGGGGCTTAGCAATGGACAAAGCAAATAAGCAATAAATAAAATAATAAATAGGTTGGTAGGGGAAAATCCATATATAACCAAGCTCTCTGCCCCACTAAACAGACATTCTAGAAGATCTAAACCCTGAATGGAGATCAGCTAGCTGAGTTCCTTCCTTCTGTCCCCATTCTTCCCCTTTAGTCAACCCTAAATAAACCACACACAAGTACAAAGTATGAAGAAAGTATTCCAGATCAAAACCTGGTAATTTAGGAACATCCTGATGACTAAACTTCTACCCTGCTGAACTGCTAGGCTTTAAAGAGATTGGTGTTAAAATAGCAAGCTCTCCCGATAATTGCCCTGGCCTGCCCAGTCCGCCAGAGCAGCATGTATGGCATACCTAGAAAATAAGGTGATGTTCCCTCAGCCTGTACATGCACTACAAGCCCATCGTTTCATGTCCTCACGGCCATGTTCTTTGAACTGTGTGTGGCTGGAAAGCTGTAGCAGCAGTAAAAGAGGAGAGGCCTTGTGGAAAGTGCTGGAAGCAGTTCCCAGAGAGCCTCAGATTTGACTGCTCTGTCCCACTGTTGACTGTTGTTAGGTCAATGGGGTGCTCTGCCTGCCGTGGCTGTTCTTAAACAATATCTAAGACCTCCTAGTTTTGGAGTCAAAGGAATGGCTCAACAATCCTTAACAGAGACCACAAAGATGCAGAGTCCTTCCTTTTGCAAACTGAGTAACTTTGCTTGGGGCCAAGCCCTGGTAAGGCATGAGGGATCTCTGGGTTATCAAGCCAAAGGAGGAAACTCCAGCAGTCATCACCTCTGGTGGGGGGCGGGGGGGGGGGGGGGTACACCTTTCTTCCTTGTCCTCTGAGGCAACAGATTCTTCCTTTTAGTTTTCTATTCCAGTGGTTCTCAACCTTCCTAATACTGTGGCCCTTTAACACAGTCCCTCAAGTTATGGTGACCCTCAGTCATAAAATTATTTTGTTGCTACTTTGTAACTGTCACTTTGCTACTGTTAAGGCTGTACTGGGTAAGCCAGGCGTTGGTGGGCTACACGGGGAGCCAGAGGCAGGAGGATCTCTGTGAGTTCGAGGCCAGCCTGGTCTACAGAGAGTCGAAGGACAGCCTCCAAAGCAATACAGAGAAACCCTGTCTTGAAAAACCAAAAACTAAACAAACAAAAAACTTGGGTGGTGGTGGGGCACACCTTTAATCCCAGCACTGGGGACAGAGGAAGTCAGATCTCAATGAATTCAAGGCCAGCCTGGTCTACAGCGCGAGTCCAAGGACAGCCAGGACTCTTACACAGAGAAACCTTGTGGTGATATAAATTATCTGATATGCAAATCCCACAGGGGGTTGGTTACCTCAGGTAACTATTCCCTTCTGTAAAGAAGCTAAGCCAGAGCCAGTAGTCAGGCCATGCCTGCCATCTCAGCATTGAGGCAGGAGGCTCACCAGTTCAAGGTTGGTTTGGGATACATAGTGAGACAGTGTCAAAAGAGTAGGGAATAGTTGTTAGCTACTTCCCAAGAGTAGGCTTGCTTAGAAATATCTCTAGGCAAGATATACAAAATCTCTGGTGGCCCCATTACTATTTCCTCCAGCCCAAAAGATACTGTAGACATTGTCTCCTTGTCTCTAGACAGAGAGCATTAAATAAAATGCCTGCTTGAGATAGGGACCTGAGCACAAAACAAATACTTCATACACTGTGGGACCAAGGGTCACCTCAGAACAGCTTGAAGAAGACAACCAAGACACTCCAGAAATCAGTCTGTCCCCATGTCAACTCACTGCAACTCTTGGCACATGGTCATGCAGGAAACCAGACCAGACTAGAGGAAGAATAGGATCCAACTGTCCATTCCCTGTACCCCAAGCTCTACCCAGAGCCCTCAGGCAGCAAAGCCAGCTCTGCTAGGTAAGTGATCATTTCAAGGTTGTGCTCCAAGAACAGCAGGTGCCTGGCTCAGGGTTATGTGTGGGATGAGAGGGGAGCAGGCAGAACCACTAAGCAAAGCTCTCAAAGGTAAATTTGCTTTGAAACAAGTGAAAAGGTGGTGGTCATACTACCTCTCAAAATAAAAACCAGACAGGCCCATCAGCTTTGATAACAATACACTTTCTTAAACCTAAAGACGGTGAAGGGCCATTCTCCCCTTCCCGCACCAGCTCCTGAATCTTTGAAGGGCCCCAGTAAGGTGATACAAGCCCCCCCCCCCCCCCCCCCGCGTTCCCTGTTCCCACACAGCAGCTTTTCTCTTTGGCAGAAATGAACTTTGACTGCTCTTACTTACACATGTACAAAGGCAAAGCTGAGAGGGCAGCGTCAAAGCTGGCTGGATGACCCCCAACAGCACAAAGTCCTCCGCACACCTGTGGGGGAGTTTTGTGAGCTTCTGAGGTACCCACGGGGACTAGTTATGTCTTCAGGTGGACAGTAGCCGACAGTTTCCATTGTGAAAGGAAAGAAAGACGCCCAGGGTGCCCTTCGAAGATAGGGCATTGGTCTCGCGGGTCAAGTGTCCCCTCACTGCCAGGCCGGCCAAGACCGCGAAGGAACTCCGCAGTGTCCGGGTGAAAACACACCCAGGGTACTGCCTGGCCTGGCCGGAACCATCTCGCAGGGCGGAGAGATACATTAATGACCGTTTTGGATTAGTTAAAGGCCATACAAGCACCTCCCTGTCCTCTTAAATCTTCCCAAACTACAGTTTAGACTGGAGGGAAGCAGTTGCAGGGACCATAAAAGTCATCTTAAAAGCCAAGTTGAAAAAAAAGAAAGAAAACCGGCAACCCGCTACGCACGACTTAGCAAGTCCGCAGCTCGGGGTGGGGGTAACACCGAGGCCGGTTCAGTGAGGTCTAAGAGTCAGGGAAGAAAGACCACAGGATTCGGGGGGCTCATTCTGACGCCGACGATCACGCCCCATAGCTCCATCCAATTAGGAAAATGACCGCGAGGAGAGGGAGAGGGGGCGGCGAGGAAGGGAGGACGAGCCACGGGAGGCTCTAGACCAGCCACGGGGATCTGCCCACCCTTTCCCTGCACCGGGCAAGCGCCTTCAACAGGTCCGAGCCGGGGCCGCCGAGGGGGGCCCAGGGCCCGCGGCACCCGGCTGGAGACGCCCGCTGACCTCGAGGGGCGCCCGGCACCGCGGCAGCGCGCTGCGCCCTCGCCACCCCGCTGGCCCGGCCGCGCGGCCACCCCACCCGCTCCCGGAGTAAAAAGTTTGTGGGCAGCCGCAGGGGCGGGGCGGCGAGGGGTGAAACTTTGAGTCCCGGGCCGGGTGTGGGGGGAGCGTCCCCGAGCGCCGCGACACCCACGTGCGGGCCGGAGACCGCCGCCGCCTCCCCGGCCTCCTGCGCCGCCGCGCTTTCCTTTCATTTTGCCTCTCTGAGCCTCTGCTTCTCTCTTTCTCTCTCTCTCCCTCTCTCTCTCTCCCCCCTCTCTCTGCCTCTGCTTCTCTCTCTCCCTTCGCGCGCTCTCCTCCCTCTCTCTCTCCTTCCCTTCCCCCTCTCCCTCCCCCCCCCCTCCAGACGCCATCTCTCCCTCTTTCCCCAGCTCTCCCTCGCTCGCTCCAGCTCTCCGGCATGAGGGAATGTGGAAGTGAAAGGAAAAGACGACATGTTTGCAGCGCGGCTGCGGGCCTGCGCGCCGCCGTCCCCGGGGAGAGGCGGGGGGCGGGTCGACCGCGGCCGCAGCGACCCACCCCCGCGCCCCCAGCCACCCCGCCGCGGGCCGCCGGGGGGCTGGCGGGGCCGTGGGCCGCGCGGGACACTCACCCTGGGTCCGGGCGCGGCTCCTGGCGCTGGGGGCCCTCGGCTGGCCGGGCCGGGCGGGCCGGGGGCTCCTGCTGCCCACCGCCCGGGTTGCTGCTGCGCGCCGCCTCCACGCGCGCCCGCCCTGCTCTGCCACCCTCCCTCCGGCTCCTCTCTTTCTCTCTCCCCCTCTCTCTCTCCCTCCTGCTCTCTCGCGCTCGCTCGCGCTCTCTCCCTCCCTGGAAGAAGGGAATGAGGCAGGGCTGACGTGAAGGGATGCTAAACAGCTCCTCCTAAGCCAGCTCGCAGAGGAAGAGAGAAAAGCAGCCCTTTTATCTCTCTTTTGTTTTCTCACTTCCTTCCACCCCCCCAGCACCCCCCTCTAGTCGGCCCAAGTTTTCTTTTTCTTTTTCTACCGCAAAGAGGATTTTTCTTTTTTTTCTTTCTCTTTCTTTCGGTGCAACTCTCCTACTCGAATTGCAAGCCTGGAGGCTTCTCTCTTTTTTTTCTTCCCCTTTCCTCTTTTCTTCCTCCTTCCTCCTTTCTTATTTCTCTAAAAGGGTTTTGTTTGCTGTGGGAGTTTCGTTTGAAAATCGAGTCACGCCTTTTTCCTTCTTTTCTTTCTCCCTCTTTTTTTTTTTTTCCCCTCCTCTCAGCAGAAAAGGGGAACAAAGATTAACAAGCGGGGGAGAAGGGAGCGTCAGAACCTCGAATGGAAATGGGGGGCTGTCCCTGTCAGGCACAAAGGGGGCCCGAGAGAACAGCCCCCCCCAGAAAGCCTAGGGTGTCCTATCCCAAAGAAGAGCTATTGGGATGAGGGTCCGGGGGAGCCCCTGGGTGCCCAGTCCTTCCGAAATGCGGATAGGGGCTCTGAGTCCGCCCCCTCCCCAGCCAGGGGTGGAAGCGAAGGGGGCTGCTCTTCACTTAATATATTTTTTAAGTGGGCAGATGGGCTTGGAGCAAACGTCGCCGCAGAGCCCTTAACAGTAAAGCGCCTTTAAACAGCTGTTTAGAGCCCTGGACGGCCAGACTCGAGGGAACAGCTCCGGCTGCGATCGCCGGGACCCGGGTGCCTAGGGGTCCAGAGGAGTTCAGCCCCTCACGGCCTCCCCAAGCCCAGGGCCTGGTTTCGGCCCCGGGGTGCACGGCTGGGGCGCCGAGGCGTGGCCGTTAGCTGAGGTCTGGGCCCTTCTGGCTCCCTGCGGGGCCCGGGGTTCAGCATAGCCTGGCCTCCTCCCAGCTCTGGGACAGGCCGGACACCCCGCCTCCAACCTCCCGGACAGCCGCCACTCAGCTGCGCCGCTCGACTCCGACGCAGGGCGGGTACCGAGCCCGCGGACAGAGCCGGGCAGTGTCGCCACCAAGGGTCAATTATTCATGGGGCGCCTGGGCGTGCTCCCAAGACCAGCTCTGTCCTCGGCTTCTCCGGAGGAGTGGAGACAACACGGGGGAAAAGTTCCCAGAGCAAAGTTGGCCACATTTCTTATTTTCCCAAGTAAGTATTGAGCACCTGCTGGATGCCTGGCCCTTGGACTGGGGCTGCAGCTGGGCGAGAAACGTGAGGTCTCGGCGGGCCCAGACAAAGCGAGGGAAGCTGTGGCTCCGGACCAGGTCACCGAGCAGAAGAGAAGCCTGGATCCTCTCCCCTCCCTGCGCTCTTCCTTCCCCTTCCCTCCTTCCTCCCGGCTGCATCTCCTTGGCTCCACCCCTTCTCATCAATTCCTCCCACACTTCCCTGCTCTCCCTGGCTTTTCACTGGAGGGTCCCTTCTCCCAGCTAGGAGCAGACGCTGAGCCCCATTGTCTCTCCCCCAATGACTGCAGCCTCCCAGGGATAGGACCAGCCACTCCTTCCCCTCCCCCCAGCCCAAAGGCCTGGGCCTTTACTGACAGGAGCCCCAAGGCCACTGCCCCTCGCCCCACCCTACACCAGCTCACGGAGCTGTGAGCAATGACTCCAGTCACTCAGAACATGATTTATTTCTGGCAAGGAGTGAGAAAACAGAAGCCAGAGAGTTTGGTTCAGCAAGAACGACCCCATGATATCAGGCTCAGCACATTGGACCTCTCTAGTGACCCCAGCAGCTTCCCAGTACACCCTTTTAGTTGGGAATGCAGGAAGTCACAGTTCTGTCATTACCTGACCCTCTTCAAAACACCCAAGCTATATTCTCCAAAAAAAAAAAAAAAAAAAAAAAAAAAAACGAGTCAAAGTGATCTCTTAAGAGTGAAATATCCACTCAACTCTGTTCACCACGTACCTGCTCTGTGGCAGCCCCCAGCCTGGTCCTAAGGACTTACCCACCAGCCAGTCCTGCTCCTTGTTCTCTGTCTGCAAACTGGTAAAGGAGCAAAAGAGAGGTATCATGGTGGATACTTACAGTTCCAACACTTGGGAAGCTGAGGCAGGAGGATAGTCAGGAGTTTAAGGCCAGCATAGGCTACATATTAAATACCAAGATAGCCCGGACCATTATAGCAAGACCTTATTTCAACAAAACTAAAAGGAAAGATGTGATTATAACCTCAGTCTGGAAGGTAGAGACAGGAAGATTAGAAGTTCAAGGCCGGCCCAAGCTACATAGCCAGTTCCAGGCTGGGCTACCCAAGACCCCTTCTTAAAAAAAAATAAAAAATAAAAAAGGGCGGGGTGGGGACCACCAACAATGAGAGTATGGGTGAAGGACACCTCAGAGGACAAGGGTGGTCAGTGAAGGCTTCCTGAAGGTCACTCTAGATAAGTAGGACTATGCCAGTCAAAAGCATGGGAGGGAGGCAGGTGTGGTGGTACAGGACTTTAGTCCCAGCATTTGGGTGGCAGAAGCAGGCAGATCTTTGTGAGTTACACAGCCTGCTGGTATACACAGTTCCTAGACAGCCAGGACTACACAGAGAGACCCTATCTCAAAACCACAACAAAAAATGTACGGGAGGGAACAATTTGCATGGGCAAAAAAAAAAAAAAAAAAAGACATTCTAAATTGTAGGAACTGTTGAGTTCTAGCAGCCAGGCCTGTTGATACACGCCTTTAATCCAAGCACTGGGAAACAACAGAGGCAGGTGGGTCTCTGTGACTTTGAGGCATCCTGGTCTACATAAGGAATTGCAAGCCAGCCAGGATTATACAGAGAAGACCTGTCCACAAAAAAAAAAAAAATTTCAAGTACTTGCAGCAATATAGAGTACATGCTGGGAAATGAAGACGGTTGTTGCCACAAGCAAAGGACAGGGAAATGTTCAAAGTTTATCCGACTTCACTTGCCAGCTTCCTCAATGAAGTGACTAATATGCTCAGTAAATAATGAAGCCCAGTTTCCTGACCTATAGAAAGTTCCTGTTTAAAGAGACAGACTGGGCAGTGGTGGTGCACACTGTTAATCCCAGCACCGGGGGGAACAGACAGAGACAGGCAGAACTCACAGGAGTTCAAGGCCAGCCTGGTCTACAGATCCAGTTTCAGGACAGGCTCCAAAGCCACAGAGAAACCCTGTCTCAAAAAAAAAAAAAAAAAAAAAAAAAAAGAGAGAGAGAGAGAGAGAGAGAGAGAGAGAGAGAGAGAGAGAAAGAGAATGAACATAAATCAACATAAGTAAAAGCTGTAATACTAACACCTTTAGTCCCAGCACTCCAGAGGCAGAGGCAGGCAGATCTCTGTGAGTTCCAGTCCAGCCTGGTCTACAAGAGCTAGTTCCAGGACAGGCTCCAAAGCCACAGAGAAACCCTGTCTCGGAAAAAACCAAGAAAGAAGAAGAAAGAAATCTAGCATGTGCCTTGTGTTGAATTCCCAGAGTTCCAACATAAAAATCTAAGTTCAAAGCCAGCTTATGCTACATAGTGAGACCCTGTTCAAAATATCGAAGAGAGGATATAAAAGTGAGGGATATAAAAGTGAGGGTTGAAGGCTAGACCTATGGGTTGTCTGGTGTCTTGTGTTCAGGTGCTCAGACTTAGGTGATGTATCTGTGGTTGATTCAACCTCTGATCTTCTCATTTATAAGATAGGGATGCAGATACCTGCTTCCCAGTGTGTAGTGAGGGTTAACAGAGCCCACACCTTTTGGGCTATTTGGTGCATAAGCACCAGCAATACACAGTAGTTTCTATCCACTGTTACTATAAAATGAATGAGTGTCAGGGAGGTGTCTTTCCAACCTAGAGATGAGAAGATGGGTTGAAACCAGGGTGACTCACAGGCTACAAAGGCAAAGAGCCAGCTGTGGCAGAAACATTCCTTCAAAGGTGCCTTGTCCCCGTGGGCGGCTAGAATGGGGAACACCCACATTTGATCAAGATGGCAGATGTCATCTCAGGACTATGACTGGAAATAAGTGGGTACAAAGGCCCAGCCTGATAACTGGAGTTCTAGCCTGCCTGAGAAATCAGTAGGAATTAGAGGAAAGGGGACTGTAAAATCAGCAAAGCTCTCAGGAATAAGAGAAAAAAATCAGGTTCCAATTCACACAGGGTGGGATCCAGTTAGATTTCTGTGAGACTCTAACCCTTTACAAAGGTCTTGATTCTCCAGGCACACTGAAGATGAACATCATAGCAGTAAGACACCCTGTGCATCCAAGGATCCAGGCAGACACCAGCGACCCACTCCACTGTGGAGACTGTGCAGTTCTATGTTGTAGTTTATTTCATCCAAGTACTGGGAATGGAACCCAGAGCCTCGTACATGCCCCTCTCACCCCCTCTCCAGGGTCTCATGGATCCCAGGCTGGTTTCAAACTTGCTACCCAAGTGCTTGGATTACAGGTGTGCATAACTCTACACAAAATATTATTAAATAACTGGATATATATATATATACATATATATATCTTGGAATGGTGGTTCAGTCATTAACAGGACTTCCTGCTTCTGTAGAGGACCCAAGTTTGATTCTCAGCACCCACATCTGACAGCTCACAAACACCTGCAACTTTAGCTCCAGAAGATCCAGTGCTTTCTTCTGGCTTCTGAGAACATTTACATGCAGGTGACATACACATGAACATAAAAAAAATAAAGGTTCTGGGAGTAGTAGCATATGCCTTTAATCCCTCTGAGTTCAAGGCCAGCTCTCTGGTCCACAGGACACAGAGTGAGGAGTTCCAGGATGGCCAGCACTACACAGAGAAACTCAGTCTTGGGGGAAAAAAAAAGTTGAGAACTATAGCAGAAGGCAATTGATATCAATACATGTACAAAGAAATACATGTACAAAGAGCACACATGCATAGACCATATACACATAAATAAATAAAATTACAATACAGTAAATGGGATTTTAAAAATAAAGCTAACAAAATTGTATCTCATAACTGAGTTGCAATTAGTTTGATCAAGTAATATGTTACAAATATCCTTTCCTGTCTGTTAACCTCTACAGTATAATTCATAACAAATTACACTATTCCACAGTGTGTTTGTATACAAATTGTTGAGGGTGGGATATATGCAGATTTTCAACGTTACGAAAGTGCTACGATTGCCGGGCCGTGGTGGCGCACACCTTTGATCCCAACACTCAGGAGGCAGAGGCACGTGGATCTCCGTGAGTTTGAGGCCAGCTTGGTCTTCAAAGAGAGTTCCAGGACAGCCTCCAAAAACCTACAGAGAAACTCTGTCTCTTAAAACAAACAGAAAAACAAAATGAAAGTGCTATGATAAACATTCCCCTTTTTGCTATTGCTTCTGTTTTAAAAGACTACAAATACCCTTTATTTTATTTTAGCATTGACTTATTTATTTAGTTGGGA